CACACTTGTCTTTTTAGGTGGGGAGGAACACTTGTGCAGCGTTTGTACGAAACAAGGAAAGACAACTCCCGCCACTTCTTGGTGCTCTGTCTGCGATGTTGTGTACTGTGAAGGATGTCTCCAGCTGCACAACATGATGCCATTGTTGTGTGACCATGAAGTAGCTCACTTGTCTGATCACACCAAGACAAAGGTCAAGCGTCGCTTCATGTGTCAAGTCCACAGAGACAAACCGATAGAGTTGTTCTGTAAGGACTGCAAGCGGGCAATATGCACGATGTGTTGCAGCATTAAACACAGGGCATGTAAGGATGTTGATACAATTGGGAGCACCACTCCTCTTGTGAAGGAACAACTGACAAGCAAAATAGAGCAACTCAGAATCAACATGGCGGCAACTAATAATAACATAACCCGCAGAAAATCTAGAATTCAAGATGTGAAGAGTAATTCACAGGACGTTAAAGATCAAGTCATAAAGACACGTGAAACAGTGATGCGTGCTATTTTTAGAAAAGAGAAGCTACTCCTAGATGCCATCGACAAAGCTACTGATGAACAATTACATGAATTACAAGCAGATATAAAATCCCAGGAGATCGAGCTACAGATGTACCAGCAGCAGTATGAGTTCACAGCCAATGCTGTGACGTCCAACTGTGAGATGGACATGTATGCCGTCTATGAGTCGATGGGTGAGACGTCTACAGACAACAGAGACACGGACAACAGACCAGCAGCAGGAAGCGTTGTATTGACACACGACCTGGACAAGCTGAGTAAAGCAGTTGATGAGCTACAACTGGGGGAGGTTCAAGTCGTCCATGGAGTGAGTGACCCCGGGTCTTCTCCTGTTCTACATCACACAATTGACTGCGAGGAAGATGGGGACGGGAAGGATCCTAGCTTGTGTGACGTCACAGTGTTGACTGTTGATGACATCAAAGTGACAGTAGTGATAGATTTCAATAACAAGAGACTCAAAACATATTACACATCAAACTTCAAATCCTTTCATAATCAGCTCCTGCTTTCTAGTCGTCCTTGGCAAATAGCCAAGTTATGTGAGAGTCAGATAGCGGTCAGTGTTCCAGGCAGTAAGGAAATAGTTACAGTGAATGTTACCCCAGGTCCTGTATTTCTGTCAACTATCAAGACAAGAAAGAAGTACCAAGCTCTGGCCTGTCTGAGTCCTTCACAGCTGGCGGCAGGTACATGGGGACAGTCTCACTCTGTGGACATACTGGACATGACAGGGAGGATACTGAGGTCTACCAACACGGGAGTGATAGGGAATCCAGAATATATCCATGTCACCAGAAACAACAACTTGATAGTCAGTGAAGAAGCAGTAAAATCCCTTGTATGTGTGACCAGTGAAGGGGACGTTGTTTTCACCTACACTCCCACAGGAGTCAGAGCTCTGACACGACCTTGGGGTGTCACAACAAGCAGCTCAGGAGATATCCTGCTTGTGGACCAATACTCCAACAAGGTGATTCAGCTGACAGAGTCGGGGCAGTTTGTCAGAGATGTCCTCACACAACAGGATGGTCTGAATTGTCCTCTTGGTGCCTGTCTTGATGGTGACGGCCTGCTGTATGTTACGTCTGACAGATACGTGAAAGTATTCAATTTCTACAGACGCTAATGTGAAAATAGAGATAATTTTTATCTCCATACACATATATACAAAAGATATACAAAACTGACAACTAACAACAAGTCCAGATCGGCTCTTGTTCATTCTTTACAAACGTAATTCACCATGTCAGTGGTTAAACAGAGGACGATATTTCGTGTGCAGAAATGTGACCTGATTTGTAAAGCACATTTGGTAAAGGAACGCATAGTGACAGGGTTCGTCCCGATTATGTTTCTAGGTTTGCCAGCACCATACCCGTGCTTCTGGGTTTCACCATTAAGGGGTAAACGTCTGAGACTTACAACATATCTGACGTGTGTTGAGAAACCAGTTCACGTAGTTAGGTATGGTTCAAGCCTTAAGATTATCAGTTAAACAATCGAGCTCGTAATTGCTCCAACGTGTGCTCAAGAGTTATATAACACAACGAGCGTTCAGCTATTGATGGAGGCTATAGCAGTGTGTGGATGCTTTGAGAATTTGTTTACATTTGTCCCCATTGGTATCAGTTATTTGTACTGATGTAATAATATTTCTTCAAACTGTAGTATTGATTGAAGTAACCCTTAATATCACTTAAACATAACACAATTCTATCAATACACTAGCTACCACTCATATCCAAGATACAAATGAGGATACTATAAATGTTTGACGTTTGAAAACTGCTTTAGCTCTACACCTGTCCTCGATGGCATCAGTTGTTTCTACTGACAGTACTAGTATTTCTAAAAGCTGTAGTATGGGTTAAAATTTATCTTCTTTTATGAAAAGAATGGGGATATTACTGAGAACAAAACTGGGTTTTAAATACCCTCATAATGCATAGGTGGAAGTTTATGTGTCTCGGTATATTTTTTTAGCAGTTATTTGTTTATTCTCAACATATTATATTAGTAATACAAATAAATCAAGGAACACGTTCAATACGCGTGGTTCTTGGTCGTATTATGAAAGATTACTTGAATACAAAAATAAGCCCATTACTCAATGTTCAGGGTCGTGATGGTTCCTTACGCTTGTGTAACTTGTGGCAATTCGCGGGGAAGAGTTGTGTGAGTCCCTTGCTTGTTACTTCTTGTTCTCGTATTCGAAGATTTACAAAAGCTCAGATCTTTTCCACACTCTACGTGCCTTTGTAGCGGAATGAATGCTCTTTATATCAAAGCGCCTTGAGAACATACCAAATCTGTGTGTGGTTATTGATAGTCGGTCTGCTCCGTGAAGGCTTTGCGTACTGCTTGTCGTAACAACTTTAACGATTGGTCGGACCGCCGGAGATGACGCGGCTGTATTTCAAACGGCTGTACTGGTTATCGTCGGATGTGGGGTCCTATTTCTGAGAGAGTCTCGCTGGTGGCTTGCTTTCTGCAGTTCTGCGGTTCTCCTGTTGAAGTGGATGGGCGCATTATCTGTCGGATATCGGTCAAAATAGGAATTGCAGCAAGTGATTATAAAGTATATAATAAATTTGAACTATTAATTCCTTAAATGGTGTTGATATTGTTTTTTATGAGGATGATGGCTTATCAGTTTCAATATGTTGCATATTTAAGAAGATATTTGAGTTTTTAAACATATTGAAAAATTCCATCAATAGTCAAAGGTTCGGGTTAACGTCATCTGATTATAACAAACTACTCACCGTTCGACAGGGATATGTGTTATATCAGAAAATTGCTTGAAAATCATTGCAAGTTATATTGTATTGACCAGGAAGGCTTGTCTCTCAGTATTCCCACCACGATATAAGTAGTATATATTGGTGAATACCGTCCTTGATCAGGACAATCGTCATCATCGATTACCTGTAGCATTCAATCAGTCTAAGTTAATAACAAACTGATACTGATTGATAGTATTTATTCTAGAAGTGATGGCGGACATGTAAATACGCCAACATGATTTTGTTTCATTTGTTTATTGCTTAAAATTATGAGCAAAGTCCGAAACCGCCGGGATGCAATCACAGACAATCAACCAGGTCACAACGCACGACAACCCGATCCATACAGTCGCCCTTTGTGACAAGCATAGGTTGCTGAGGACCAAATCTAACTAGGAATTCTCACATAGTAGTAACTAACAATGAATGTACTATTCTGAATCGTTGTTAGAGTGTATCGTCATCTCGTGAAGGTGTGAAAGTAATGATTTATTTCAGAATATCTTATCAGGTTAAAATACAAAAACATCACTTGTGTGTGTGTGTGTGTGATAGTGCGTGCGTGAGTGCGTATACATGCATGCATTTATGTATGTATGTCTGTGCGTGCGTGCGTACTTACGTTTGTATGTATGTATGTATGTATGTATGTGTGTGTGTGTGTGTGTGTGTGTGTGTGTGTGTGTGTGTTGGTGCGTGCGTGTGTGCGTATGCATGCATGTATGTATGTCTGTGCGTACGTGCGTGCGTGCGTGCGTGCGTGCGTGCGTGCGTGCGTGTGTGTGTGTGTGTGTGTATGTATGTATGTATGTATGTATGTATGTATGTATGTATGTATGCATGCATGCATGTATGTCTGTGGGTGCGTATGCATGCATGTATGTATGTATGTATGTATGTATGTATGTATGTATGTATGTATGTATGTATGTATGTGCGTGCGTGCGTGCGTGCGTGCGTGCGTACGTGTGTGTGTGTGTGTTGGTGCGTGCGTGCGTGCGTGCGTGCGTATGCATGCATGCATACATGTCTGTCTGTGCTCGCGTATGTATGTATGTATGTATGTATGTATGTATGTATGTATGTATGTCATGATGTTTACGCAACACAAGGTGGGATTAATGTACAAAGATTACAATCCAATGACGAAGTCGATTGGATAGGATTAAGATTAATACGCTCGCAGTTCAGGTATGGGGAGATGACATTTTGTTAGGCACATATCGTTTGCCGTCGGGGGGCACGGGGGGCCCCGTCGTCTAAGGCGCCGCGATTCGCTGTGCAGAGTTGCCAGAAACCTATGATTGTGGGTTCGAGTCCCGGTACGCCCCGATTATGTTTCTAGGTTTGTCAGCACCATACCCGTGCTCGTGGGTTTCACCGAAGTGGTAAACGTCTGAGACCTGCATCACTTCGAGCTTTCCTCCCACATTAAGCTGACACGCCGCGATATAACTGGAATACTGTTAAAAGCGTCGTTAAACCCCAACTCACTCACTCACTCGTTTGCCGTCAGGGTCCACACTTGGACACACGCAGGTAACATATATGTGTGACTTGCACCTCGTACCTGAACGTCATCGCACCACCACCACGTGGTTGGTTATCTCTGCATGGACTTTCACTCCACTGTGACATCATATGATAAAGATCTAACAGGCATGCACCAGTATACAAGGCATTGAATGAATCACGTGCATTTCAACATCAGCTGACTACCCAGCACGGCCATATTACACTCTCAGGGGCGTTTCTCCACAGGCTTGGTCTTTGAATCCATGAGATAATCGGTATGTATATACACTTTTAAACTGCAGGATAATTCTATACAAACTTGATATCTTCAGGTGACTGTGTTGGTGTAGGGAATATCCACTCCTTACCTCGGTTAAGTTTGTCTTGGGATATACTGTACATATTCTTAAGTCTTGAAATCTGGCCATGGTTTAAACGTTACAAAAACACGATGTCGATACATAGCATTAATAGAATCGTGTTCATTTCGTGTTTACTTCCATGGGTACTGTGTCATGGCTCATAGAAAACCAATTTCCTCACAGTTCCTTGTTGTAAAACCCTATAGCTCTACCTCGATGTCTACTACAGTACACTACGTTTATAACGAACACCCTTACAACGAACGGACGGATATAACGAACTGTTTTTGGGTCCCGTCCATTTGCTGTATACATGCTTTTATCATTCAAAACTGGCTCCCACATGAGAAATCGCTGGGTGGGATTAAGCGATACCTACCTATATTGTATATATCGCTGCAATGAAATTGCATCACAATCTTTGCAGACCATTGTGACCTCATTGGTTACCATGGCGTCAGAATCAAACGACATCACTGATGGCTAATGTTAGCAACACTTTTTACTGCTTATTACTGTGTACAAACTGAAGAAGTTGGAAGAGGTGAGGTGAAATGTGGTTTAACGTCACGTCAAAGATTATTGTACTTATGTAGCGACGTGCATGTACGTGTGTGTGTTTGTATGGCTGCTTGTACTAGTCCGGACTGATGCCGATTTATAGTTCTAGCTCACTGAGATACCATGCCGCAGTTTAACATGAATATCCACTCAGACACAGTATACTGACTCCGAGCCGACCAGTCCTTGTTTTAACCCCTTAATGCCGAGCCAGGGTAACAACAAGTACATTCTTTTAACGTCTTTTTGTATGACGCGGCCGGGGATCGAACCCCGGACCTTCCGCTCTCCGGGCGGACGCTCTACCACAAGACCACGGAGGCGGTCTGAAGTTGGAAGAATAATGTTGGATGATATGATCCCAAACTGGCTCCCACATGAGATATCGCTTCCGTCAGATTAAGCGATACCTACATTGTATATATCGCTGCAATGAAATTGCATCACAATGCTTTGCAGACCATTCTGACGTCATTGGTTGCTATTACGTCACAATCAAATGACATCACTAATGGCACAACCCCAATATCATCAGAAGAGAAATACATACATCAATTACTGGCGTTGCCTTACTCGCCACAGTCACATATGTGCAGAAATACTGTCGTGCCGCGTCAGGCAACAGACACTTGCTTGTTTATGCAAATTGTGTGAGTGGCGGGTGATACCGACAGGGCAGGGCATGCTCCCCCTTTTCACGGACACCTGGTGTCATCACGGACTTCCAGTCATCCATTGAGATTGGTTGTTTTCTAGCGTTGACGTATTATATTAACTTTATAGGTTTTACTTTACAGAAGAGGTACCGGTGCGAATACCAAAACACGCCAATATTTGACACACTGGGTGGCAATTCGCTTTCTTTACCTGCAGAGGTCACGTGACAAAGTTGGGGGGTGACAGGCAACTGGAAATTAGAGGTATTGAATGACATACGGTACTCGGGATGGGTGCCATGTGTGTTTTAAACGGAGGTGAGGTGAAATGGGGTTTAATGTCGCGTCCAAGATTATTTGGGGACGATGCATTCATGTAGATGTTGTATGATTTTGTCTACAACATGTGCATATACACTTCATTAAACTATCGGTTTTGCTTCAGATGGCGACCGCTCAGAAGCTGACCGAAAACCACCTCACCTGCGTCATCTGTACAGAGGTGTTCACAGACCCAGCCACACTTCAGTGTCATCATACATTCTGTAAGTCCTGTCTGCTGAAATACACCAAGACACAGCCGGAAGCAGTACAAGCCAAGTCCATACCATGTCCCTCCTGTAGACAACAGACGAAGGTGACCAACCCTGACAGTCCAGTAGAGGAGTGGGTCAGTCAGCTGAAACCAAGCCACGTCATACAGGGGCTGATGGACGACTTTGGACCAGGCACAAAGGGTAATCAGCTTAGTATTGTACTGCCTGACTAATATACCCTTTTAAAAGATATGTAAACAACCACACATGTGTGCATAGACGAGCATTTACTCATAGGATTGCTCATTTTGACTTCATATTAACAGATTTTGATGCAGGATACACATTTCTTTCTTGCAAAGGCCAATAAATTCCATTCCATTTGCGACAAAGAGCTCCTGAAAAACAGAATTGTGTGTAACAAGGTAGCACATAAATGTCACAATCTTTCTCTGCTTATCCTGATTGGGCGTTACAATATATGTCACAGCTAGGACAGAGTTGTGGTGGCTGAACTGTGGGGGTGATCTATAGTTGCAGGTGCATCTACCTGGCTGGCCCTACCTTGTTACAAAACACGTTAAATGAAAACATTTATATACATCTTATTGTTAAGTCTTCTGTAAATTGAGGCTCCGATCAATAAAGACGCTGTAACGCCCGCAGGTTTTAATATACATCTGTTATTGCATATCTAGTCAGCAAATAATAATCTTGTGGTTATGATAACCTGTAGGTCATGATTGACTAGGGAGTGCTACATTGTGAGACAGCATCATTGTTTCATTACAACCTGTGTCATATGATATGTTTAACTCCAGAAAGGGCGTGGCCGTTTGTGACAAAACTAATGTGTTACGTGTTATTATTTCTTTAGATGGTGTGCGATTCTTATCATGTTTTTGACAAATGAAATTAAGCACACTTGTCTTTTTAGGTGTGGAGGAACACTTGTGCAGCGTTTGTACAAAACAAGGAAAGACAACTCCCGCCACTTCTTGGTGCTCTGTCTGCGATGTTGTGTACTGTGAAGGATGTCTCGAGCTGCACAACATGATGCCATTGTTGTCTGACCATGAAGTAGCTCACTTGTCTGATCACACCAAAACAAAGGTCAAGCGTCGCTTCATGTGTCAAGTCCACAGAGACAAACCGATAGAGTTGTTCTGTAAGGACTGCAAGCGGGCAATATGCACGATGTGTTGCAGCATTAAACACAGGGCATGTAAGGATGTTGATACAATTGGGAGCACCACTCCTCTTGTGAAGGAACAACTGACAAGCAAAATAGAGCAACTCAGAATCAACATGGCGGCAACTAATAATAACATAACCCGCAGAAAATCTAGAATTCAAGATGTGAAGAGTAATTCACAGGACGTTAAAGATCAAGTCATAAAGACACGTGAAACAGTGATGCGTGCTATTTTTAGAAAAGAGAAGCTACTCCTAGATGCCATCGACAAAGCTACTGATGAACAATTACATGAATTACAAGCAGATATAAAATCCCAGGAGATCGAGCTACAGATGTACCAGCAGCAGTATGAGTTCACAGCCAATGCTGTGACGTCCAACTGTGAGATGGACATGTATGCCGTCTATGAGTCGATGGGTGAGACGTCTACAGACAACAGAGACACGGACAACAGACCAGCAGCAGGAAGCGTTGTATTGACACACGACCTGGACAAGCTGAGTAAAGCAGTTGATGAGCTACAACTGGGGGAGGTTCAAGTCGTCCATGGAGTGAGTGACCCCGGGTCTTCTCCTGTTCTACATCACACAATTGACTGCGGGGAAGATGGGGACGGGAAGGATCCTAGCTTGTGTGACGTCACAGTGTTGACTGTTGATGACATCAAAGTGACAGTAGTGATAGATTTCAATAACAAGAGACTCAAAACATATTACACATCAAACTTCAAATCCTTTCATAATCAGCTCCTGCTTTCTAGTCGTCCTTGGCAAATAGCCAAGTTATGTGAGAGTCAGATAGCGGTCAGTGTTCCAGGCAGTAAGGAAATAGTTACAGTGAATGTTACCCCAGGTCCTGTATTTCTGTCAACTATCAAGACAAGAAAGAAGTACCAAGCTCTGGCCTGTCTGAGTCCTTCACAGCTGGCGGCAGGTACATGGGGACAGTCTCACTCTGTGGACATACTGGACATGACAGGGAGGATACTGAGGTCTATCAACACGGGAGTGATAGGGAATCCAGAATATATCCATGTCACCAGAAACAACAACTTGATAGTCAGTGAAGAAGCAGTAAAATCCCTTGTATGTGTGACCAGTGAAGGGGACGTTGTTTTCACCTACACTCCCACAGGAGTCAGAGCTCTGACACGACCTTGGGGTGTCACAACAAGCAGCTCAGGAGATATCCTGCTTGTGGACCAATACTCCAACAAGGTGATTCAGCTGACAGAGTCGGGGCAGTTTGTCAGAGATGTCCTCACACAACAGGATGGTCTGAATTGTCCTCTTGGTGCCTGTCTTGATGGTGACGGCCTGCTGTATGTTACGTCTGACAGATACGTGAAAGTATTCAATTTCTACAGACGCTAATGTGAAAATAGAGATAATTTTTATCTCCATACACATATATACAAAAGATATACAAAACTGACAACTAACAACAAGTCCAGATCGGCTCTTGTTCATTCTTTACAAACGTAATTCACCATGTCAGTGGTTAAACAGAGGACGATATTTCGTGTGCAGAAATGTGACCTGATTTGTAAAGCACATTTGGTAAAGGAACGCATAGTGACAGGGTTCGTCCCGATTATGTTTCTAGGTTTGCCAGCACCATACCCGTGCTTCTGGGTTTCACCATTAAGGGGTAAACGTCTGAGACTTACAACATATCTGACGTGTGTTGAGAAACCAGTTCACGTAGTTAGGTATGGTTCAAGCCTTAAGATTATCAGTTAAACAATCGAGCTCGTAATTGCTCCAACGTGTGCTCAAGAGATATATAACACAACGAGCGTTCAGCTATTGATGGAGGCTATAGCAGTGTGTGGATGCTTTGAGAATTTGTTTACATTTGTCCCCATTGGTATCAGTTATTTGTACTGATGTAATAATATTTCTTCAAACTGTAGTATTGATTGAAGTAACCCTTAATATCACTTAAACATAACACAATTCTATCAATACACTAGCTACCACTCATATCCAAGATACAAATGAGGATACTATAAATGTTTGACGTTTGAAAACTGCTTTAGCTCTACACCTGTCCTCGATGGCATCAGTTGTTTCTACTGACAGTACTAGTATTTCTAAAAGCTGTAGTATGGGTTAAAAATTATCTTCTTTTATGAAAAGAATGGGGATATTACTGAGAACAAAACTGGGTTTTAAATACCCTCATAATGCATAGGTGGAAGTTTATGTGTCTCGGTATATTTTTTTAGCAGTTATTTGTTTATTCTCAACATATTATATTAGTAATACAAATAAATCAAGGAACACGTTCAATACGCGTGGTTCTTGGTCGTATTATGAAAGATTACTTGAATACAAAAATAAGCCCATTACTCAATGTTCAGGGTCGTGATGGTTCCTTACGCTTGTGTAACTTGTGGCAATTCGCGGGGAAGAGTTGTGTGAGTCCCTTGCTTGTTACTTCTTGTTCTCGTATTCGAAGATTTACAAAAGCTCAGATCTTTTCCACACTCTACGTGCCTTTGTAGCGGAATGAATGCTCTTTATATCAAAGCGCCTTGAGAACATACCAAATCTGTGTGTGGTTATTGATAGTCGGTCTGCTCCGTGAAGGCTTTGCGTACTGCTTGTCGTAACAACTTTAACGATTGGTCGGACTGCCGGAGGTGACGCGGCTGTATTTCAAACGGCTGTACTGGTTATCGTCGGATGTGGGGTCCTATGTCGGAGAGAGACCTGCTGGTGGCTTGCTTTCTGCAGTTCTGAGGTTCTGCTGTTGAAGTGGATGGGCGCATTATCTGTCGGATATCGGTCAAAATAGGAATTGCAGCAAGTGGTTATAAAATATATAATAAATTCGAACTATTAATTCCTTAAATGGTGTTGATATTGTTTTTTATGAGGATGATGGCTTATCAGTTTCAATATGTTGCATATTTAAGAGGATATTTGAGTTTTTAAACATATTGAAAAATTCCATCAATAGTCAAAGGTTCGGGTTAACGTCATCTGATTATAACAAACTACTCACCGTTCGACAGGGATATGTGTTATATCAGAAAATTGCTTGAAAATCATTGCAGGTTATATTGTATTGACGAGGAAGGCTTGTCTCTCAGTATTCCCACCACGATATAAGTAGTATATATTGGTGAATACCGTCTTTGATCAGGACAGTCGTCATCATCGATTACCTGTAGCATTCAATCAGTCTAAGTTAATAACAAACTGATACTGATTGATAGTATTTATTCTAGAAGTGATGGCGGACATGTATATACGCCAACATGATTTTGTTTCATTTGTTTATTGCTTAAAATTATGAGCAAAGTCCGAAACCGCCGGGATGCAATCACAGACAATCAACCAGGTCACAACGCACGACAACCCGATACATACAGTCGCCCTTTGTGACAAGCATAGGTTGCTGAGGACCAATTCTAACTAGGAATTCTCACATAGTAGTAACTAACAATGAATGTACTATTCTGAATCGTTGTTAGAGTGTATCGTCATCTCGTGAAGGTGTGAAAGTAATGATTTATTTCAGAATATCTTATCAGGTTAAAATACAAAAACATCACTTGTGTGTGTGTGTGTGTGATAGTGCGTGCGTGAGTGCGTATACATGCATGCATTTATGTATGTATGTCTGTGCGTGCGTGCGTGCGTACTTACGTTTGTATGTATGTATGTATGTGTGTGTGTGTGTGTGTGTGTGTGTGTGTGTGTGTGTGTGTGTGTGTGTGTGTGTGTGTGTGTATGTGTGTGTGTGTGTGTGTTGGTGCGTGCGTGTGTGCGTATGCATGCATGTATGTATGTCTGTGCGTACGTGCGTGCGTGCGTGCGTGCGTGCGTGCGTGCGTGCGTGCGTGCGTGTGTGTGTGTGTGTATGTATGTATGTATGTATGTATGTATGTATGTATGCATGCATGCATGTATGTCTGTGGGTGCGTATGCATCCATGTATGTATGTATGTATGTATGTATGTATGTATGTATGTATGTATGTGCGTGCGTGCGTGCGTGCGTGCGTGCGTGCGTGCGTGCGTGCGTACGTGTGTGTGTGTGTTGGTGCGTGCGTGCGTGCGTGCGTATGCATGCATGCATACATGTCTGTCTGTGCTCGCGTATGTATGTATGTATGTATGTATGTATGTATGTATGTATGTATGTATGTATATATGTATGTATGTATGTATGTATGTCATGATGTTTACGCAACACAAGGTGGGATTAATGTACAAAGATTACAATCCAATGACGAAGTCGATTGGATAGGATTAAGATTAATACGCTCGCAGTTCAGGTATGGGGAGATGACATTTTGTTAGGCACATATCGTTTGCCGTCGGGGGGCACGGGGGGCCCCGTCGTCTAAGGCGCCGCGATTCGCTGTGCAGAGTTGCCAGAAACCTATGATTGTGGGTTCGAGTCCCGGTACGCCCCGATTATGTTTCTAGGTTTGTCAGCACCATACCCGTGCTCGTGGGTTTCACCGAAGTGGTAAACGTCTGAGACCTGCATCACTTCGAGCTTTCCTCCCACATTAAGCTGACACGCCGCGATATAACTGGAATACTGTTAAAAGCGGCGTTAAACCCCAACTCACTCACTAACTCGTTTGCCGTCAGGGTCCACACTTGGACACACGCAGGTAACATATATGTGTGACTTGCACCTCGTACCTGAACGTCATCGCACCACCACCACGTGGTTGGTTATCTCTGCATGGACTTTCACTCCACTGTGACATCATATGATAAAGATCTAACAGGCATGCACCAGTATACAAGGCATTGAATGAATCACGTGCATTTCAACATCAGCTGACTACCCAGCACGGCCATATTACACTCTCAGGGGCGTTTCTCCACAGGCTTGGTCTTTGAATCCATGAGATAATCGGTATGTATATACACTTTTAAACTGCAGGATAATTCTATACAAACTTGATATCTTCAGGTGACTGTGTTGGTGTAGGGAATATCCACTCCTTACCTCGGTTAAGTTTGTCTTGGGATATACTGTACATATTCTTAAGTCTTGAAATCTGGCCATGGTTTAAACGTTACAAAAACACGATGTCGATACATAGCATTAATAGAATCGTGTTCATTTCGTGTTTACTTCCATGGGTACTGTGTCATGGCTCATAGAAAACCAATTTCCTCACAGTTCCTTGTTGTAAAACCCTATAGCTCTACCTCGATGTCTACTACAGTACACTACGTTTATAACGAACACCCTTACAACGAACGGACGGATATAACGAACTGTTTTTGGGTCCCGTCCATTTGCTGTATACATGCTTTTATCATTCAAAACTGGCTCCCACATGAGAAATCGCTGGGTGGGATTAAGCGATACCTACCTATATTGTATATATCGCTGCAATGAAATTGCATCACAATCTTTGCAGACCATTGTGACCTCATTGGTTACCATGGCGTCAGAATCAAACGACATCACTGATGGCTAATGTTAGCAACACTTTTTACTGCTTATTACTGTGTACAAACTGAAGAAGTTGGAAGAGGTGAGGTGAAATGTGGTTTAACGTCACGTCAAAGATTATTGTACTTATGTAGCGACGTGCATGTACGTGTGTGTGTTTGTATGGCTGCTTGTACTAGTCCGGACTGATGCCGATTTATAGTTCTAGCTCACTGAGATACCATGCCGCAGTTTAACATGAATATCCACTCAGACACAGTATACTGACTCCGAGCCGACCAGTCCTTGTTTTAGCCCCTTAATGCCGAGCCAGGGTAACAACAAGTACATTCTTTTAACGTCTTTTTGTATGACGCGGCCGGGGATCGAACGCCGGACCTTCCGCTCTCCGGGCGGACGCTCTACCACAAGACCACGGAGGCGGTCTGAAGTTGGAAGAATAATGTTGGATGATATGATCCCAAACTGGCTCCCACATGAGATATCGCTTCCGTCAGATTAAGCGATACCTACATTGTATATATCGCTTCAATGAAATTGCATCACAATGCTTTGCAGACCATTCTGACGTCATTGGTTGCAATTACGTCACAATCAAATGACATCACTAATGGCACAACCCCAATATCATCAGAAGAGAAATACATACATCAATTACTGGCGTTGCCTTACTCGCCGCAGTCACATATGGCAGAAATACTGTCGTGCCGCGTCAGGCAACAGACACTTGCTTGTTTATGCAAATTGTGTGTGCGGCGGGTGATACAGTCAGGGCAGGGCATGCTCACCCTTTTCACGGACACCTGGTGTCATCACCGACTTCCAGTCATCCATTCATATAAGTTTCACCACTATTTTGCCTTTTTCGCTAAATGGAATCTGTTTTGGAGGATAATCGAGATTGGTTGTTTTCGTATTATATTATTTTTATAGGTTTTACTTTACAGAAGAGGTACCGGTGCGCATACCAAAACACGCCAATATTTGACACACTGGGTGGCCACTCGCTTTCTTTACCTGCAGAGGTCACGTGACAAAGTTGTGGGGTGACAGGCAACTGGGAATTAGAGGTATTGAATTATATACCGTTCTCGGGATGGGAGCCACGTGTTATAAACCCAAGGTGAGGTGAAATGGGGTTTAATGTCGCGTCCAAGATTGTTTTGGGGATGATGCATTCAAGTAGATGTTGTATGATTTTGTCTACAACATGTGCATATACACTTCATTAAACTATCGGTTTGGCTTCAGATGGCGACCGCTAAGAAGCTGACAGAGAACCACCTCACCTGCGTCATCTGTACAGAGGTGTTCACAGACCCAGCCACACTTCAGTGTAATCATACATTCTGCAAGTCCTGTCTGCTGAAATACACCTACACACAGGCGGAAGCAGTACAAGCCAGGTCCATCCCATGTCCCTCCTGTAGACAACTGACGAGTGTGACCAACCCTGACAGTCCAGTAGAGGAGTGGGTCAGTCAGCTGAAACCAAGCCACGTAATACAGGGGCTAATGGACGACTTTGGTCCCGGCACAAAGGGTAATCAGCTTATTATTGTACTGCCTGACTAATATACCTTTTTAAAAGGTATGTAAACAACCACACACGTGTGTATATACGAGCATTCACTCATAGAATTGCTCATGTTCACTTCAAGTTAATAGATCTTGATGCAGGATAAACATTTCTTTCTTGCAAAGGCCAATAAATTCCATTCTGTTTGCGACAAAGAGCCCCTGAAAAACAGAATTTTGTGTAACAAGTTAGCAGACAAATGTCACAATCTTTCTCTGCTTATCCTGATTAGGGGTTACAATATATGTCAGCTAGGACAGATTTGTGTTGACAGAACTGTGGGGATATCTATAGTTGCATGGCCCTACCTTGTTACAAAACACGTTAAATGAAAACATTTATATACATCTCATTGTTAAGTCTTCTGTAAACTGAGGCTCCCATCTATAAAGACGCTGTAACGCCCGCAGGTTTTAATATACATCTGTCATTGCATATCTAGTCAACAAAAAATAATCTTGTGGTTATGATTACCTGTAGGTCATGATTGACTAGGGAGTGCTACATTGTGAGACAGTATCATTGTTCACCTG